TTCTTTTTCTTTGAGAAACCAACCATTCTCCATTTGTTTGAGCATTAAATCAACAAAGTTATTTTCATGAATTAACTTTGTGATTGTACCCCAGATTATTTTTAAATTTTTGTCCATTATAATCACTGATGTTTGTAGAACCTTATTCAGCAAAAATACGATGAGAACAGAATTTCAATCTGGAAATCTCTTAATAAATAAATGTTTTTGATTAAATTATCAAAATGGTTTAATTCTTTTTGATACTGTATAAAGTGATTTCTTTCTATTCTTAGAGTGAAATGAAAATAAGCAGATTTGGTTCTTAAAGATTACCTGCCTTTATAGAACCAGTTCCTGAATTCCATTGTTGATTACATCCCATAAATTTCAAAACTTTGGATTGAATCCAGAGCTGGTTCAAGACGATTTAAGAAGTCGAATTGGTCTAAGGACTAGGAGACAAATGAACGTCGACTGTTTTTGAAATACTAAGTTGACAACAACAGCAAACGAGAAGAAACAAATCATAAAGAGAAAGAAAACTGAAAGGAGTTTCACAAAATTAAGGAAAATTTTGTTTGAAAATTCATATCAGACTAATTTTTTTTAATCTTAAAACTTGTTATCTTGCCTAAGTGCACAAAGGAAAATTTTGTGCAAACTTGTAAAATCTTGTGTTCTTTTTTATGTAATGTAATAAACCTACTTAGTTAGAGATGAATCAGAAGAAATATCATATCCTGCTGGCACTTCTACATTTTTTAAAAACAACTAGAAGAAAAAGCTTAACCAGCATTGTTGTAAAACTAATTCAGGATATAAAATGACCTCAAAAAGAAAAAAAGTAACAAAAAAATACTTTTGTATATATTAGAAAAAAATTTGTCATGGGTGTTTTTTAGTAAACCTGTTTTGAGTATATGGTATTGTGGTGTATGCTGGATAAATGGAGATGAATGAATGAGTCATGAATCAAATTAGCTAGGTTTATGATAGTCAGTGAGGGTCAACCTCGCCGCAATTCCCATTAGGCTTTACACCACAATTATATTCTTTATGCAATAAATAATATATCTAGGATCAAAGCGTAGTATCTGTTCCTTCCAGCAGCCAACAGCTGGCCTCCATTGCTCCAGCCATCAGCAGCAGTTTCAGCTAGCCAGCCATCATCATATCTAGCACTTCATCAACTGCCACTCCAGCTATCTCCAGTAGGCCTCCAGCACCTGCCATTCTCGCCAGCAGCAACAATATGCATTAAACTCTCCTTTTCAGGACAACACTCTTCACCAATTACAAAACTGTCCTTTTCAGGACAACTCTCCAGTGACTAGTAAAATGGTCATTCTCAGTACAATGCTCGGTGTCTTGAGACATGAGCATGCAGAGATATTTTTTGCTTCGTGCACTATAACCTTATTTTTGTTGATGTATTTTCTTTAACAAAAATAAACTTGGCAATATGTTTTTTTTATTCAAGTCTTTATTTTGTTTGTTGTTGTCTTCCATCATTTAATACCTGTGTGCAGGCGAATATACCACCAGCAACAGAAACAGTGATCGTCCAAGTGTGTATCATGTATGGCACTTACCTGACTGAATAAATATTATAATTACAAATTTCAGTTCAGAATATAAAGTTTGTTTCTATTTGTTTACATCATTCACAATACTCGGAATAACAGAGGTGACATTCTCTTTTCTTTCTCCCCCGACAAAACAGTTTTTTTTACATCCTTTCAGTTTTAGACATGTTTCATAGTTTTGCTTTTATGCAGATGTCCAATTTGGGTGCAGGCCAACTCAACACCACCAACTGAATGTCGGGACAACTCAGAACCGGGACAACTCAGCACCAGAAAAACATTATTTTTTTTTATAACAGTATAAAAGTAATTTATTAGATTAAAATCTTAATTAGTGAATATTTTTCTTTAAGTAAGGCATTTGAAAAGGTATTATGTAAAAATATGAACCAATTTTTGTTTTTAATTATTTTTATTAAAGTAAATCATAAAGAAATTAAATTAAATTGACATAGTTCTTTAATGTACTTTATTTTTTAATAATGTAAATCAAAAAATGCAAAACAAAATGAAGCAGTTTTTGTTTTTAATTATTTTTAATTATTTTTAATAATGTAAATTGTATTGTAATTTATTTTTTAATAAAGGAAATCAAAATTCTAAAATATTTTTATAAAAAATATAACATTTAATATTGTTAATTATTCAAATTATTTGGCTTATAATTTGATTATACAAAAATTGTTTAAATTTGTTTTATTTGATAAAAACAACTCAAATAAAAAATAAATATCAAATAAAACAAATTTAAACAGTTTTTGTATAATCAAATTTAATTCATATTTTTTTAAAAAGTGAAATATAAAGCAACTATTTTAACAAAACTTTTGTTTTACATTTTTCTTAATTTTTGTATTTTATTAAATTATTTTTCATAAACATATTTTAGCATATTGATTTAATTTATTTAAAAAAAATTAAAAACATACAAACTGCTTCATTTTCCCTGCCAAACATGTTAAAAGAAAAATAGAAATATATGAAGATATTATAGCATCTATCAGCAAATTAATAAGAAAATATAAATTAAATTGTATTGTTTTTTCATTTTTTTAATAATCTATTTAAATAATGTTTATGAGATGTTCATTTTTTATAAAAATATTTTAGAATTCTGATTTACTTTATTAAAAAATGAATTATTTTATGATTTATTTTATTAAAAATAATTAAACACAAAAAATTGGTTCATATTTTATATAATGCCTTTTCAAATGATTTATTTGAAGAAAAATTGTTGTAGAGTAGCTAGCACCCATTCAGCACTCTACCAGATGGCCTGGCTCATAGCCTTAAATAGTCTATGATTAAAGACTTCAATAGTTGATTAATAAGTTGATACTAAGCTGATTAATATTCACACTGATCTTACTTTGTTGGCTATACAGCATTTGACCCTCCTCTATTCCTTGTAAGTTGTCTTGTTAATTGTTTTGTAACTTATTGTTCTGTTTATTGTATGTATTTGTTAGCACTGGATACTGGTGCTGAATAAATATGTTAATATTCTTCCCTGTGTATCATTCAACTCAACAATATAACAAAAATATTCACTAATTGAGGTTTTAATCCTTAATAAATTACTTTTATTCCATTTAAAAATGTTGTCTCAGTCCTGAATTGTTGCAGCACTCAATTGGTGATATTAAGTCATCCCTTCCCATCTAATTTTCTGCTATGAACTAAACCCAAGTTTATTATATGACTTTCGTTTATTTCCTTTGTCTTTACAAAATATCACAGAATAACAGATTAAAAAATGAAAAGCAGATATACATTTAGGAAAGAAAATATATTTAATAGCAATTCAACGATAAAAATAACATTCACCAAAATTGTGGCAATATTTAACCTTGACGCCCCCCACCACCAAAAATGGTGTATCAAAAGAACGGTTATTTCTTTAACACTGCTATTACTGTATGCACATTTGACTCCTTCAGCAGTGTTTTAAAAACCAATGATTAGTATTTTAAGAAAACCCAAACATATGAAAATCAATTTATACATTTTCTTTATTCTTGCGAATTGAAAACAAAGATATTAATTTTTTAAATTGAATAAAAAACTTGTTTTCATAATTATTTATAAAATGGCAAATAATAAATATTGCACTGTAATTCAGTGTTTCTCAAAGTGGTTGTCTGCGGACCGGTGCACGTATACAAACCATCAGCTTCCGGTACGCAGCAAGCATCCAGGCCATGCTAAGGAATCATTTGTAAAGGTTAAGGTTATATGATTTTTGTTTTTGTATTAATAATAAACTGCTTATTTTTTTATTACTTTTTATATGCTTTGAGATTGAATTACTTTTTGCAAAATAAATGGAAGACAAAAAATAATCAACTTTTATTATATTCATTATATATATCATTTCTGATAATTTTACCACAAAATATTACAGGTACGTGACACATTGATAAAAAAATGTTGGTTCACCATATCAGATAGTTTGAGAAACACTGCTGTAGTTGGTTTATATATTTTGATGATTTAGTAATTTTTATTAACTTTGAATAAAAACATTTATTTTCCAATTTATTTCTTTATAAAATAGTAAATAATAAATCTTTATAAAAAGTAAATAATATTGCATTGTACTTGGTTCACATATTTTTTAATGTTGTAAATAAACATTGCTGAGGGAGGCAAAAGTGTATACAGTAATAGTAGTGTTGAGGGAAAAGTGACAAAAGTAAGGCAAGTACAGGCACAAAAGAGGCTCTGATTCACATGTGGACAAGTCTGGCAAAACTAGTTACATCAAGGTTTTCCCCATTAGCAGCAGAACATCTTGACAAGTCTAGACACAGGCCTCTCTGCAACTTTTCTAAATCTGGATCTTTGTCAACTGTTTTGTGCCAATAAAAACAACAAGAAAAACCAGCAGTGGGCAGTTGGTGAGACTCAGTGTTTTGTGAAATCATTTGCTCAGGCATTTTGTTCCTAAAGTTGCATGCCACTAATCACTGCTGTTGGTTTTTGAGGCAGTGTTTTTTTCTTCCATCTTTTTCCCTTCTCTGCCTGTTATCGCATATTGCTTGAGAGTTAGGTGTTTCCCCCAACATTAAGACACTCTTGCTGTATTTTACAACAGGAATAACCATCCTTTTGACAAACCATTCTTCTTGCAAACACAAAGGTTAAACATTGACAAAATCACAATATCTCTCAGAACAGCTTCATAGAAAAAAATAAAAATAAGAATACCAACACCAAGAATTTAATATATATTCCACAATAAAAACAGAAAATGTTTTTTAACCTCCATAGTATTATTTAGAAACTGTAAGAAGTGCTTGAAGAAGTAGAGATATGTTGAAATTAACTGTCAAAACATTGTGTATAATTTCTCTTCTTAAGTCACCAGCTTTTTGATGATCTTCCAACAAAAAGTATCACTGATAAAATTTAAAATACCTTGGATCTTCATACCTGCAAAAAAAAGTGTCAAAAGGACAATTATTTTACTCTTCGGCAATGTTTATTGTTTTACAAAACAATGATCAGAATTTTAATAAAGCCTAAACACATGATGAAAGTGAATTTTCACATTTTTTTTTTGTTCTTGATAATCTACAACAAAAATATTAAACACTATTTATTAGATTATTTGTTGGTTTCAATCCCAATAGGAAGTAGGAATTTATTCTCAATAGGAATTTATTCTCCATAAAGGACAATTTTACACTCCTAGAGCTAGCTAATGAGATTCACATTCATCCATTAAAATTTGCTCATTCCCCACAAGAACTCATTCAACATCATTTTATCTGACATGTTCCACAATACATTCCCAATAGGAATGACTGCAAAACACTTTCCCCTCCCCAATTTATAGACAGAAGCAGACAAAGGCATGCTGGGATTTTTACCTAGCCAATAAAATAGGCTGGTTCTTGGTTTTATCTGACTCAGTCCTGGTCTTTCTTGTATTAGTTCAGTAGGCTATGTTCACTTATCTGAACTTACTGTAATGCATCAACCTTCCTAATTTGTGAACTTTTTGCCATATTACTGTTGCTTTTCCTTATTACTGTTAATTTGCCTTGCATATATTGTTTGCTTGCTTTATATTATTTTTTGCCCTGTTCTTTTCTTTTTCTTGTTACTGATCATTGCAAACTTTGTCAATTCTGTTTGTTGGACAGTTCTGTTACTTATTTTATATTTAACCATGGCTACACCTACCACATCATTTACAATTTTATATTTACAACATTCTAAAAACTAATACAATTGTATTAAAACTAATGCAATATTTCTCATTTACCAATTTATAAAGAGATAAATATGAAAATCTTTTATTCATAAATTTATAAACATTTATTAAATTATTAAAATATGCAAACCAACTTAATCCTTATTATTTACCATTTTGTAAAGTTCAATTCTGTGTTCTTTGGAATGGTTGGTAAAATATCATCAGCATATTACCAATCAATTTGAACTTTATAAAATGGTAAATAATAAAGATTTCTGTGTATATTTCTGAGATTAGGTATTGTAACTATTTACACAACTTACATTGTTCAGACTGTTGTCCTCATCTTTATTGTCAAATTCAAAACATTTCGGCCATTGTATATTCTGGCCTTCTTCAAGTGATATATATTGGAATTTCAAACCAAACTCTTTATTTCATCAAGGAAACATGGTCCAGTGAATAAAAGTGTTGTTTCAAGTAATTCAGTGATTTCACCCAAAGAGTTGTGAGTTCAATACCTGGCCACAGCAGAGGTGAACTAAAACTTGGAAAGTTGAGTTACTCAAGGGTGGACAAAATAAAGGGTTCAGTTCAAAATTCCAATATATAACCTAAAGAAAGCCAGAGCATACAATGGCCAGAAAAATCATGAATTTGACAATAAAGATAAAGACAGCAGTCTGAACAATGTAAATAGTGTAAATAATAAAGATTTCATCATAGTTAATTCACATATTTGTTTACATTTTTAGAATAGTGCAAATATAAAATAATTCTTGTAAATAAACAATCTAATAAATAAATGATGTTTATTATATTTGTTGCAAATTCTCAAGAACAAAGAAAAAGTAAAAATTCACTTTCATATATTGAGATTTTATTAAAATTCTAACCATCACTTTTTAAAACAATAAACATTGCAAAGGAATAAAGCTAGTTTAAATAATAGTGGTGGTGTCAAAGAGAAAAACATCCCTTTGACACTTAGTTTTTTGGCAGGCACCAAGGGCCAAGATAGTCAAAATAGTAAACCATAAAACAGAATTACAAATAAAAACTAAGTAAAATAGTTTAAAATAGGTACCTCCACAGAAAATGCAATACCTAAGGTTCAAAATGAATTTTTAAAAAGAAAATTTTTTCTTAAAGCTTTTATTTTAGTTTAAATTTCAAGCTAATACATTAAATTTTATTATTTCCAATAAGCAAAATACTTTGCTGTATTTCAAAAACTAATTTAAATTAACTGGAAGAATTTTTTTTTTTCGAAAATAGCTGATTAGTTCTCTTTTTTAGTTGTTTTTCATCGCAATATAATTCTCTTGATTAAAAATTTTTCCAAGAATAAAATATACTTTTCTGAAACTTTATTTGAGGAATATTAGCTGATTTAAAGTATAATTAATCTGATTTGAAACAAATACTATTTACTTAAACATAAGTTTAAAATATTGCAAAATTTCATTTTTTTAACACACTCTTTAAATTTACTATAGTTGTCACATTTATTTTCTGATAATGTTGCATATGAACAACAGTATATATAAAATTTTTAAAAAACGAAAACAACTCTTACAAAAATGCATTATTCATCAAGAAAAGATGTTTCTTAAGACAAAAGTGTCCTTAATAAATTTTATTTAAAAGCTTTTCTAAATAAATAATATCAGTTTTATTGCATTTTTTATTTTATGATTCAGAACAGATTTTCAGTAAATGGTATTTCTGTTTGACAAAAATAAATTGACAATTTAAATTTTCCAAGGAGTCTGGCTTTTAACTAATATAAATATGACAATGGTGAAATTTTAATTTCATGAAATTTCATAAAATTAAGTAGAAGTAACAGATGTAAAAAATAAATATTTTTACCACATTTTCTAAAGAAAAATTTCAAAAATAATTTCATTCATTTGTGAATAAGTCCTGGAAATTTCATTAAAATCCAGCATTATTTGATTTTTTGCAAGAATTTAAAAAAAATCTTTACCCTCAAAAAGACGCAAAAAATTTCCCATTTGGCCCACACGAGAAAAACAAGATTTTTTAACCAAAATTTCAAGTGTCCTAAAAAGGATTTAAAAATTTAATGAAATAATCAAAAAAATACTAAGATCTTTCCTCTTAATAATAACAAACATTTTGACAATAAAACTTTGTTTTTCTCATGTTTGGGGCCTTTTTTCATCATGATAAGCTCTTTTTTTAGCAAACTTTTAGAGGTACCTAGTTTAAAAGTAGACTTTATCTCTTGTCTCACCAAAAAAACAAATGTGAGAGACAGATATCATGCTAATTTAGGTTACAGTGGATAATTATAATGTGTATAGGAAGTCATTCACAACATGACTTAGAATGTGTAGTTGAAACAGATGTGGTCAGTAGATCAATTAACCTTTCAGCAGTAAGTTTAGAAGAGGATACTGCACTCTGAGATACCAAATGACCAGCAAATAACTCCAGGTGACATATGAAAAGTTAAAACTAGCAATTTTGGAAAAAAAACCCATCAGTTTTCTTCAGTGTTACATGTCAACTTGTATGCTGCACTATAACTACAAGGCTGTACCAACTTCTACAAATTTGCTACAAACAACATTCAGCAAACTCAGACCCTCATGCCTACAAAAACAAAATGGAGAAACAAAAGTACTGTTTTCCACTTGTCACCACTTTTTTAACTACCTTCACTCCTCAGCAATGTTTATTCATTTAAAAAATGATGATTAGAATTTTAATAAACATAAATATATGATGAAAGTGAATTTATAAATTTTTTGTTTTTAAAAATTTACAATAAAATTAATAAACATTATTTATTAAATTGTTTATTTACACTATTGTTTATTAAAATGGTTGGTAAAACATAAGCTTTCTCTATCATTGCGGCTGGCAGAGGATAGAAAAAAATTGTTTATAGTTGTTTTATAATTTTTTTGTTCAAACTTTTTTTCAGTAAATAAATTTCACTTGCTCGAAAAAACATAAGCTAATTGTCAACTGATTCGAAGTTTAAAAATAGTATATAATAAGGATTTTCTTTTCATTGATTTATATTTTAATAATTTAGGAAATGTTTATAAATTTATGAATAAAAAATTGTTTACATATTTATTTCTTTATAAATTAGTAAATGATAAGTATTGCTTTGTATTAATTTTAATTGTGAAAGTTTTTAGAATGTTGTAAATATGAAATTATTCTTGTAAATAAAAAAGTCTAATAAATATAGTGTTTAATATTTTTTGTTGTAAATTCTCAAGAACAAAAAATTTGTATGAATTCACAGACTTTATGTGTTTGGGTTTTATTACAATTCTAATCATCACTTTTTAAAATAAACACTACCAAGGAGTGAAGGTAGTTAAAATAATAGCGGAATCGATGGAAAAACCATCCTTTTGACAATCTGTTTTTTGCAGGCATGAAAGTCTAAATTTGTCTGATATTCACACAGCATCTCATTCAATAACAGATGTTTCCACTATCATGTTGACCCCAAAAAGGCTCAGAAAATTAACTCCACTCCTTTCCAGGGATTTTTTTTAACTTTAGTCCAAATTTATGAACATTTTCTCTACCTCACATTTTTTTTTTAGTCATTCAAAAGAATTCCTAGTGGCCTGAATGTATAAATTTAAGTGTTCTACTAGACTGGCATCTAGGTCCCACCCTTTTACTATTGAAATAGTTAAATGTAACCACTACTTCTACTCCAACAAGTTCTTTTCTTACACTTCCCGCCTGTGGAACTCCTTTCCATTTACTTCTCTGATAACTACAATCTTCTAAAATTTAAGTGCAACATCAATCGCCATCTTCTGTCTTGAACCCCCCTTTTTTTTTTTTCCTTTCTTCATTCCCCTCAACTTCATTCTAGTAACACCCTTTAAAGGAATTAATTTTTTCCTTATGTTTTCTCATGTTTATGATTACTTCCAGACACAAAAGACAATGTTTAAACATAGGGAAACATAAAGAAAAAATTAATTCCTTTAAATAAAGTGCGGAAATAACCATTCTTTGCTTGATGAAGGTCACAAGACCTGAAACACGTATAGCAAAAAATATAGAAAATAAAGTATAATATATATTTAAAAAAATCCACATTATAACCAAAAACGTTTGCAGCTTTGCTTTTCTCTTTAAAATATATATACATATATAAATAGATAATAATATCAAATTCGTAAGTGGTAAGGATAATCCAAGTAGGTCTTTTTAATATAAATTGTCTGGATAAATTTAAACCATTTTGTTAATTTCAGTCTGATGAGGCAAATATTAAAAAATTTATCTGCCGAAATAAATTTATTACCAAATTCTTCAATGATGTGTTAAGTTTTTTCCTTCTTGAGATATATATATATATATATATATATATATATATATATATATATATATTTTGAGCAAAAAATTTGATTCCTCAGAGCATATATACAGATTTAAATATGTAGAAAGACATTCTTTTTCTTTCGGCTAACACATCAGAAGAAAAAACTGTTAGCAAAGTTAATTAAGAAAAGGTGAAATAATTTGCACTGCTAGAGAATAAGTCCTAACATACTCTCCCTCTGTTTATAGAGGGAGGGCTGTATGGACTGTGATTTCAATTTAAATTTTATTCCACCTTTATTAATATTACATATCATTTTTATGTTTTTTTTTTATTGCAATATTTATTCCTTCAATCCAGCTCAAAAGTGAGTGAGGGCTCATTTTCCTTTTTTTTTAATCATAAAAAAGTAAAGTTAGGCTTACCTTTTTATTGCTATAATAAAATGGTATAGCCCACAGAAAATTATAAATATACATATATATATATATATATATATATATATATATATATATTATAAATTAATTGATTTAAAATATGGTTTTTCCACTACACAGTTCTAACCATGTTTCAAAAATGGAAGGTCCGAATTTAATTTTGTAATTAAAATTAAAGACATTACTTCCATTTCATCCTCAAGGAAAAAATTCACTTAAGGATGAAATGGAACTAATGTTTTTAATTTTAATTGCAAAATTAAATTCTGACATTCCATTTTTGAAACATGGTTAGAACTGTGTAGCAGAAAAACCATATTTTAAATCAATTAATTTATAATATTAATGCTCTGTAAATTTACATTGAGCACTATTTTGTAAAAATAAAAATATCTATAAGAACAGCGGATTATATATTTTACTGTTCTTTCTTTTTATTTATATATACATATATATATATATATATATATATATATATACACAAAGTATATATTTATAAGTATATCTATATATATGTATATATTTATAAGTATATCTATATCTACCTATCTATCTCTTTGTAACCCTGGCTTTTCCCGCCCTTTGTGATCATCAGACAATCTGATGACCGCAAAAGGCATGAAAGCCAAGATCACAAACTCACATCAATGGAACTAAATATCTTAGCTCTATTACTGATATTGAATGCTTTCCAATAAATACTTCGCATATATAATATACAAATAATACATATAAAATTATGCATACACATTATATATACATTCAGATATATATATATATATATATATATATATATATATATATATATATATATATATATATATATATATATATATATACATGAAAGTAAAAAAAAAAAAAAAAATTAATCTAATAAAAAAACAATACACTTGCAGTTCAACAACCTTGTTAGATATATGACTATACAAGCTGAACCACAAGAAGTAAATTCTAATTAATCAATATGTCTCAGTGATCAGTATTCATCAATATATCTCAGTCAGTATCAAACTCCGTGATAATGATATTATGTAACCCAGCAATTTTTTTCTAAAACTCTTTAACTTCTTGGAAATATAGTATCCATAGAATTTCAAGTCTTCCTTGAGTTTTTCATATAATTAATTGTAAAAAGTCAATTACTAGGCATACTGAATACTACTGCTACAGTTGGTCAGCCTTGTCCATTACAAGTTAAAAATCTTACACTTACCATTTCAGAAGAGTCATTAATGCTGGCAATCTTGTTTAGAAAATTGAATTTCTTTACTTAAAAGTTAATATAAAAAAATGTAGAAAACATGAGAAAAGTTTCTTCAGTAAGCAAGTCTGTGAAATTTGTTGATTAAATGGGTTTTTTTCATTCAGACTTTCAAATTAATTTTCATCATCTTCATGTTGCTTAATTTTTCAGTCTGTTTTGTCTTTTGTTTTCTTATTGCAATATGCAATTAAGCCTAAAAATAAAAGAAAATTTGAAGCTTAAGAAAAATTCCAAAAGTTTTTAAGTATATTTAAAACGTGTACACTGCCGTTTTCTTGTCTTTTTAGTTTTAAGCATTTCAAATAAATCCCCAAATTAAGCCTGCAATAAAAGTGCAATTAAGCCTATTTTCAAATAAATCCCCAAATTAAGCCTATTTTAAGCATAAAGTGAGGCTCAGAATGTTTTAATAGCTTGAAGCTTATAAGCATGCCAAAATTTTTAATAGCTTGAATAGCTTATAAATAAATCCCCAAATTAAGCATTTTAAGCCAAAATTCAAATAAATCCCAAATAAATCCCCAAATTAAGCCTATTTTAAGCATAAAGTGAGGCTCAGAATGTTTTTTCAGAATGTTTTAATAGCATAAAGTGAAGCTCAGAATATAAGCATGCCAAAAAAATAAATCAAATAAATCCCCAAATTCAAATAAATCCCCAAATTAAGCCTATTTTAAGCATAAAGTGAGGCTCAGAATATTTTATTAGCTTGAAGCTTATAAGGATGGCAAGGTTCAGACCAATCCCAACAGTAAGCCTATTTGAAGCATGAAGTGATGCTCAGATTTTTTATGTATTCAAAGCCAGGATGAATGGTAGACTTGTAAATATGTAAGATAGAGAGAAAAATTATCTAACATGACACAGTTACCCAACATTCCTAATTGCAGACATAGTAATGGATTCAATATAATCTTTCCACTTCATGTCAATGGAAAACATTAGTCTGAGAAGGTGCAACAAGTCACTCACCTGGAAGTTCGCATCAGCTATGCTGATGGAAGACAGAAAGGTTTCTCTCAGACAATTAGAAGAAAGCAGTTCTGTTTCAGAGGTGTTAAAATTAATAAGGAATTCCTTAACAACAGATTGTAAGTCATTTTTGAGACCATCTACCAAATTGACCTTATCAAACTGATCAGACTTACTATTAAGACAGCTTTAGATAGTTGTGTCATCAGCATAGATACCAAGTTGAGTACCGAGGATATCAGGTCGTTGATGAAAAGCCTAGTTGGGGAATTGGTTTAATTAGCAATGATATACAGCAGGTTGTATTGGGTTAAATGTTGCCAGAAGATCTTGTAGAATGACCTGACATCAAACCAAAGTGTTATTTACATTGAAAACCTTTACAATTAGATGATCCCAAAATGTCATTAAATTTAATCAAGAAGACGCTTAGAAACTTTTTTTCTGAGTTTTATAACATAGAAATATTCTAATTTAGAGGCTGAGTAGTCTCTTATTCAAATTGTATGGTAATGTACATTACATGAAATCTAAATCGTCAATGAAATAACTCCATTCTATTGATAATTATTAAAGGTAAAAAAATAATTTAAGAAATTTACCTTTGGTTAAAAAATGATTTTTAGTAAATTCATGAGAGTTTGCATGAAGATTTACTGCTGTGTTTTTCTGAAGAGATCGACTGAGTCATATGGACTTCATTTTCATCACCTGACTTCTCTTCTTGTGAAGTATTCTTTGTAGATGCAATAGATGAGTAAGCCATACCATCTTCACATTTACCTGTTGGCTTCTCTTCTTGTGAAGTGCTCTTTGCAGATACAAAAGAGTCAACAGTACCATCATCACATTCATCAAAGGATTTCTCTTCTTGTGAAATGATCTTTAGAGATGCAATAGAAGAGACAGCTGCACCATCTACACATTCATCTAATGATTTCTCTTCTTGTGAAATGATCTTTAGAGATGCAATAGAAGAGACTGCTGCACCATCTACACATTCATCTAATGATTTCTCTTCTTGTGAAATGATCTTTAGAGATGCAATAGAAGAGACTGCTGCACCATCTACACATTCATCTATTGACTTCTTTTCTTCCGAGGTGCTCTTGCTAGATGCAATAGAAGAGACAGCTGTACCATCTCCATATTCATCTGTTGACTTCTTTTCTTCCGAGGTGCTCTTGCTAGATGCAATAGAAGAGACTGCTGTACTATCTCCATATTCATCTGTTGACTTCTTTTCTTCCGAGGTGCTCTTGATAGATGCAATAGAAGAGACAGCTGCACCATCTCCATATTCATCTGTTGACTTCTTTTCTTCCGAGGTGCTCTTGATAGATGCAATAGAAGAGACAGCTGCACCATCTCCATATTCATCTGTTGACTTCTTTTCTTCCGAGGTGCTCTTGCTAGATGCAATAGAAGAGACTGCTGTACTATCTCCATATTCATCTATTGACTTCTTTTCTTCCGAGGTGCTCTTGCTAGATGCAATAGAAGAGACTGCTGTACTATCTCCATATTCATCTGTTGACTTCTTTTCTTCCGAGGTGCTCTTGATAGATGCAATAGAAGAGACTGCTGTACTATCTCCATATTCATCTGTTGACTTCTTTTCTTCCGAGGTGCTCTTGATAGATGCAATAGAAGAGACAGCTGCACCATCTCCATATTCATCTATTGACTTCTTTTCTTCCGAGGTGCTCTTGATAGATGCAATAGAAGAGACAGCTGTACTATCTCCATATTCATCTGTTGACTTCTTTTCTTCCGAGGTGCTCTTGATAGATGCAATAGAAGAGACAGCTGTACTATCTCCATATTCATCTGTTGACTTCTTTCCTTGCAAGGTGCTCTTTGTTGATTCAAAAGATAAGTCAGTAATACCTTTTATGCATTCATCTACTGATGTCATTCCTTGTAAAGGGCTCTTTCTAGATAACAATGTGTCATTTGTACTGCTAGGAATTAAAGAATTTGATACTTCCTGTATTGAGGATTTTTTCATGAGTGCTGTCATGCTTTTTGACCGAATAAATTTGTTTTTTGAGGTTTTCTGTATCAACATTGTAATTCTTTTAATAGCATGTTTTGTCCCCCATTTTATGGGCTGCAGTGAATTTAAACCTAAAGGTATATTATCCAGTTTTTCTGCAGTATCTATTATGGGAACCACTTGCCATTGTTCGTTATTGTCTTTATTAATAATTGACTTCATCAAGCATTCATCTGCCATGTATTTGATTTCTGGATCATCACAAAAATTCTTCGTACATAAGACAAAGACATAAGAGCTCTTTATCAAGACTTCCTTTATCTGCAAAAATTTCTGAACATCTGTAACATTTACCAAATCATAAAGTTCTGCTTTTGCCATGATACCACTCTCTACTTGTATTTTGTTGATTTCGTCAACAATAGATGTTGCCATTTCTATATCCTTTTCACAATAAAGCACAGCAGCATCAAAGTAGTCATCCAAACTATGGGAAGGGAGATCCAAATCGGAAGCAGATGTAAACATTCTATGGTCCAGGTTTAATGACCAGTTGGCTGAAACAGAAACATTTCCAAAAATATAATGGACAAAAGGAAATAAAATTGGAAAAACAAATTAAATGATAAAAATAATTTATTTTTTAAATAATAATTAAATTAAATTAAATTAAATTAAATTAAATAATTAAATAGGTATCATAATAAAAGTCTTTTTGTTTAATCATTTCCCCCCCAAACAAGGCAATAAAGCCACTAAGATGCAAGCGGTTACTGAGTGTTAGAGAATATGAGAAAAAGAAAACATTATTAAGGGATGAGAACAATACAAGAACAGGGATTAAGAAAACAAGATAACGATTTACATTGTATTTAACTTTTTGAAGATCAAAGTTCACTTCAAGAAGAAGCCAGAAGAGAGTTCCACAAGCAAGAAGTGCAATAGAAGAAACTGTTAACATAGAATTTATGGTTAAAACTAGCCAATTCACTTGTAAAATGAAGAGACCTATCTGCCAATCTAGTATTGCACTTAAATTCATAAAGTCAAAGTACCAAAGAGGAAAGTTCATCCGAATAATTTCCATTAAAATATTTATAGACAAGGCACAGAGAAGCAACTTTAAGGCTGTGGGAAAATGAATGAATCCAAGATGCCAGGTCAGGACCAATAACATTGCAGATTCTTCTTTGTATTTTATGAAGAATCTCTAAATCCATAGCAGAAGCACCAGACCAGATGTGACTGCAATATTCAAAGCATGGACAAATGGTAGACTTATAAAGGTGTCGCACATCATTTTAAATCATTTAATCAAGCAAGGCAATAAAGCCACTAAGATGCAAGTTGTTACTGAGTGTGAGAGAATATGAGAAAAAAGAAAAACATTATTAAAGAGAGAGAACAATAGAAGAAAATTGAACTTATGTTTACATCTAGCTATTTCAAGTGTAAAATGATGAGACCTATCTGCCAATCTAGTACTGCACTTAAATTCATGATGTCTAGCTTATTTATAAATATTGCAAAAGATTATATTGCAAATGAATAACAAAATAGTTTTAACCATTTCACCACAGGCAAGGCAATAAAGCCACTAAGACACAATGAGTTACTGAGTGTTAGAGAGTATGAGAAAAAAAACACTCTTAAGGAGAGAGGACAATACAAGAAGAGAAATTAAGAAGATAACGATTGACATAGTATTTAAATTTTTGAATATCAAAGGTAATAAATCCACTAGGAAGCAAAGGGGTTACTGAGTGTTAGATAATATGATAAAAACTCCTATTAAGGAGAGAGGACGATAAAAGAACAAGAATTAAGAAGACAGAAGCTAATGATTGACATTGCATTTAAATTTTTGAAGATCAAAGGCAATAAAGCTACTAGAAGATATCGATTGACATTGCATTTAAATTTTTGAAGATCAAAGGCAATAAATCCACTGGAACGCAAGGGGTTATTGAGTGTTAAAGAATATGAGAAAAACTACTATTAAGGAGAGAGAACAGTAAATGATTAAGAATTAAGATAACAATTGTCATTGCATTTAAATTTTTGAAGATGATAATTGATCGGTAACCATGAAGCCAGAAGAAAGTTCCACAATTGAGAATGCGATAGAAGGAACTATCAGCATAGAAATTACCATTACATCAAGCTATTTCAATTGTAAATAGTTATTTATATACACAAATTTGTCCATCAAATGACAGTATTATTGGGTACATACTTTACGCCATATATATAAGAGGCGAACTATAAATTAGAATTTTGTGACCCGCTACATTCTACCCACTAACCCTAACACATCTCCAACCAAAAAGAATTTATCTAAACTCAGCATAAAATGTGTCACAACTACATCTAAAAATGATCAAAGATTTAATCTATAAAAGACAAAACAACCAGCCAGAACTTGAAGGAGGAATTTACTCTATCAAGTGCAGGAATTACCAGAATGAATACATTGGATAAACCTCAAGAACTTTAAACAAAAGATTATATGAACACAAAAGGGACATTTTAAAAAACAACACACAAAACACACTGGTTGTTCAATGTAACAAAACTGACCACGATTTTGACATAGGGAATGCTACTTTGATTAAAAGAGAAAATAATCCACTGTGACAAAATTGTTCAGAAAATGCCTTGATCATTAGACAATGATAAATTTGCACCCAGGCTCTTACAATATATCACCATTCTTAGCAGATTTTCTGTTGTCACAATGTGGTATAGTCAGGGACAAAGATGATGGAGAGAAAAAGAAAAAGGATACAGATTAATCTGGCTAGATTGAGAAAATATTTTTTTAAATAAATATTTTTTTTAAATAAATATTTTTTCAAAAATTTTGAAACTATCAGCACCTTTCATTGCATGCACATGTGTAGACATAGCAACATCAACAAAGCTTAGTTCAATGAATTTCTAACAGATGAAACATGTCACAAAAACATTTTCCAATTTGTCATAATATTTGTCTAATTATATATATATATATATATATATATATAAAAGGCAGGATGTGTGTGTGTGTGTGTGTAACGAATGCACGGCTGCAATTTTCGACGGATTTGCACCAAAATTTACATGCACATGCTCCAAGTTAGTGGAAAGACCAAGACTGACTTTGCATTTCCCAACTCCCATCGATAGTGGAAATAATTGATTTTTTCATGCTTCTACAGCAGTTTTCATGTAGTTTGCGGCCATTTTCTACTGGCCAGAGTGAGAGCCAATAGCTGGCTGCCACGAATAGGCAGGAAGATTCTATTGGCCAGCATGAGAGCCAACAGCTGATTGACACGAATGTTAACTAGCATGCAAAAAAAATTGATAGCTGCATTCGTCACAAGTGGGAAAAATTTAAATCTGCCATGCACTTTACTCCAATTGGCTCATTCGCTTGCTTAAACTCAACGTTGATTCTGATTCTGCAGAACTGGGTTGGGTGTGAAAAAGTATTTGTTGTTAACATTCTTTTTTCATTCAGTTTTTCCAGTTACAAGTCCTTTTTTAAAGCTGATCGTTTTGTGTTCATTTTGTTTAGTTCTTTTTTTGTAACAGATTTAATGTTTAGTATAGAGCATAGAAAAAATTCACAGTGTGAGATAGGCAAGAAGTAAGGCATGTAGCAACATCAGCACGGCAAAGGGCACTCCTTTAAAGGCAAAGAAGGGCAAAAATATTTGTAGTCAAGTGATAGTGATTGCTGTATGAGTTGTACAATTTTTGAATCAAGCACGGGCAACGCCGGGCCATGCTGCTAGTATATATATATATATATATATATATATATGAATAAAAAAAGGAACAAGTAATCTTCCTTTAATATGGTAAAATTTATATTCACAACTCTAAAAATTCTTTACATTTTTTTTACTTACACATATATTCTACACCTGTTTATTTTAAATGCCAAATATAATTTTTAGAATTAATAAACTGTAATCCCAGTATAATATATATCTATGCCAACATTATGATAACCAGATATATTCTTAAATTACGTAATGCCCAGTCTACACTCAGTACCTGAAGATTGCACTGTTTGGCATTTTGAGTCGTGCTACCAATGAGGGATAATATATACATATATATATATGTTTGTAAAGAATTAAAGGATATGTTTTTAACCTAACATTTTCATTAGTTTAAAGATTATTATAATGGATACTCGTATTTAAAATAGATGTTCCATTTTTATTTTCAACATTATGTATTATGTCTAAGGCCTATACAAAAAAGGAAAATAGGGCCTTGCTAAACTGTGACACTCTATAACTGAGCAATAAAGCATGCTGGATACAATGCTGGTTTCTCCAACAAAGGTGATGGAGAGCACATTTTCCTCAATAAAATTTCTTGAATATGCAGTCCAACAGGTATCATGCACATTGTTAAAAATAAAGATAAAAGTAACAAAAATATTTATGTTCCCATAAAGGGATAATATCAAAAAAGAAAAACATATAACACAAAACAACTTAATTTGTTTATTGATCTCTTCTTGATATTACATTAATAATGTAAATTTTTCGTATTCTTCTATTTTTGTTATTTTCTTTTGTTTTAATCATAATTATTAATTTCTGTACATCAAAAAAAAAAAAACATTTAAAACAGAAAAAAGTTCAAGTCAAAAATTACTTACATGTTTGTGAATTAAGTTTCGGTCTTGTTCCACCTGAACATGTCCCCGAATCATTGGATTCTGACATTTCTATACACAAGAAAATATATATTAATTAGTTCAGAAATTAGTGTAGTTTTTATTTGTTGCAATATTTTGAAGACTAAAACTTCATACAAAATTACATATTTTTCTTTTAATCATTTCACCCCAAGCAAAACAATAAAGTCTCTAAGACACAAGAGGTTACTGAATGTGAAAGAATAAAAAAAAAAAAGAAAACTATTAAGGAGTAAGAACAATAAAAGAAGAGGAATCAAGTAGACAGAAGATAACAATTGACATTGCATTTAAATGTTTCATGATCAAAGGCAATAAAGCCACGAGGAAGCAAAGGGGTTACTGAGTGCTGAAAAATATGAAGAAAATTGCTATTAAGGAGAGTGGACAATAAAAGAACAAAAATTAAGAAGACAGAAGTAACAAATGACATTGCATTTAAATTTTAGAAGATCAAAGGCAATAAAGCCACTAGGGCGCAAGGGGTTACTGAGTGTTAGAGAATATGAGAAAAACTACTATTAAGGAGAGAGGATAATAAAAGAACAAGAATTAAGAAGACAGAAGATAACAATTGACATTGCATTTAAATTTTTGAAGATCAAAGTTAAATGGGAAGTAAGAAACCAGAAGAGAGTTCCACAAACAAGAAAAGCGAGAAAAGAAACAGCAAAGAACTTGCAGTTAATCTAACCAATTCAACTTGTAAAACAATGAAACCTTGGTGACGATCTAGTTCTTTTAAAAGTCTAGGTACCATAGAAGAAATTTCATCAGAACAATTAGCATTAAAATATTTATAGAAAAGGCACAGAGAAGCTACATTATGGCAATGAGAACATGACCAAAGCTGGGATACCAGGTTAGGACCAAGAACATTGCAAATTCTTCTTTGGATTTTATCGAGAACCTTTAAATATATAGCAGGAGCACCAGACCAAATATGGCAGCTATATTCAAAGCTAGGATGAAGAGCAGACTTATAAATATGTAAAAGAGATTCTTCTTTGGATTTTATCAAGAATCTCTAATATAGGAGCACCAGACCAAATATGGCAGCTATATTCAAAGCTAGGATGAATAGCAGATAGATTTTGAAAAGAAAAATTGCCTAGAACGACATAGTAAACAAACTTTCTTAGAACCAAACCTAGCAATTGATTAACCATAATCTTTCCACTTTATGTCAGCAGAGAACATTAAGACAAGAAATGGAAAGCAGAAAGGCATCTCTCACATGATTAACCTTTACCACACTGCAGGCGACAATAGTTGCCATAGAATTCTCTCCCATGCTATTCTAGGCACAGTCTGTGAGATGGTTGCTATAAAGAAACACTTGTCAACAGTTATTTCCAATATTTTAAGCTGGAAATTGCCTACTACTGCTTTGGAATAATGCTAAACTTCCAACACCATTTTGAATTCTAAATATGAGGAAACATATCACATTTTTTGACAAAATGAAAGCCTTCTTAGCGATTTTGCTTCTTACTGCACCCCAGAACTCCACAAGGAGTAATAAAAGTTAAAGTAGGTTAAATTATCTATGTATTTCTTAATGTATTTGTTTTTTATTTCACATTTCACTTTTTTTTGTTTTCAACAACAAAATATGCATGCAAAACATAATGCATTACATCAAAATATTACTCATTCATTCTTTTATTAGTGTACAAAAATTAAAGTTTATACGTACAATACAAAGAAAGTTATAACAATTTTAAAACAGTAGGTGCTCATGTTTTTGCACCCTCCAAAAAAATTTAGTGGCAGGGGAGACAACTCTAGAAAGAAATTAGCATGGTAATGGTTAACAGAAGCAGTTTTATTTTGGAGCATATAAAAATTAACATGTCATTCCTTACTCCAATTAACAGCAAATTTTAGGTCACTTTTGAGATCAGCTGCCAATTTGATATTATCAGATCGACCAAACTTACTATTGATGTGGATAAGGCTGACAATAAATAGGCATTTTTAGAAAGCAATGACTTAGAAAAAAAATTAAAAATTATGTTTTTCAAAAAAAAGAGTAAAAAGGTGCTTACTGGAGTTTCAGGCCTTAGATTTCTACTAATTAGACATCACTGATCTGAGATCATGACTTTTTTTTTTTTACTAATGTTCACCCAATACAAGGCCCAAGAGTCACTCAAGGTAAAGGGTTACTGTGTGGTGTTATATGAGCATAAAAAAGGGCAAGAAGTGAAGTTCTTGGGGCTATGCAGTAGAGATAACAGCTAAGCCTTGACTTCAAGAGGTTAAGATATCATTAGTGAATAACATTTCAGAGTTCAGGCAGAGACATTAGAAGTATAGTGTTGAAATAGATTTTAGAAGAAATCAGAAATGCAATCCTAAACAAGAAACAAGGGATAAACGTTTACTTCTGTTCAAAAGACTAAGGAGGTGTGTGAACCAGACAAATAGGCAAAACTATTTGCTCCTATTGGGAGAGAAAAAAATTAATAAATAAAATTTCAGCATTCAAGCAGAGACATCAGATATATAGTGTTGATGTAGACCTTAGAAGGAACCAGAAACTCAAACCTAAACATGAAACAAGTACTGTTAAAAAAAATGGGGAAGTGTGTGAAATGAGATATAAAATAATTTGAGAAGAATGTGTATAATATCTGGAAAAATCATTGTTCTAGAATACCTACGAACAATAATGAGAATTTCCCCATTCACATAAATACAGTGGTAAATACTGTATGTGGGTCTGCAGTGGGAGATTTGTCTCCAGCTGTGCTGGTCAAATTCTATGCCTCTGGGCAGAGAGGATCCCCAGACAAGGCTATGTTGAAGGGCAGAGTCTCATCTCAGGAAACAGCTACCCAAACCGGGAAATTTTTGGCTGAGCCTACGGGCTCAGATACCCCACATTAAATTTGGCCTTGTGCAACATCTGATCACATGGGGTGGTTAGTAGATATCCTGCAGTTGGAGATTTGTCTCCAGCTGTGCTGGTCAAACTCTCTGGCTCTGGGCAGAGAGGATCCCCAGATCAAAAAGCAAAGTCAAAAAGCAGAGTCTTGTCTCAGGAAACAGCTACCCAACCCTGTTTTATATGGGGTCTATGGGGAATCTTTGGCTGAGCCTACGAGCTCAGATACCCCACCATGGGGCAGTTGGAGATTCATTGTGGAATTCACTTGACTCACTTCTAGCAGCTGACTACTTCTTCTACACACTGCTGGCAAATCTTATATGCGTTGTTCTTGTCCTAAGTATTATTGTGCATTACCAAACTTCATTTGATTATTCTATTCAGTAACTTTCCCTTGGTTACAACAATCATGTTTATTTAAATTTTCTTGGTCTATAGTTCATAGATATGTTTTTAAATTCATTAATAAAAACTTATGTTATTTATTTATAAAATAGTAAATAATAAATATTGCAGTTGGTTCACTTATTTTGATAATTTTATTTTATAAATTTTTGATTGAAAATATTTCTTTTCAAAATTATTTCTTTATAGAATGATAAATAATAAATGTTTATAAAATGTTAAATAATAAAAAACACATAATATTATACTTTGTTCACATATTCTTATAATCTTATAAATACATATTGCCAAGGGAATGGAGGCAGTAATAGTAGTATCAAAAGAAAAAAAAACACCTTTTGAAATAAGTTTTCTTGTAGTTAAACTTTTCTGCTTATATTTTAATAAAATCCTTTCTATTTTTTCCTTTTTTTTTTTTTTTCCATTTTCGCAATTTTCAGATCTTTGAAGTTATGAAGCCAAAACAGAATTTTTGTCAAATTTATCTCTAAGATTTTTAAACTCCACCATGAGGAGAAACATTGATGAAGTTTAAAGCCAAAGAAGGCACATTGCAATGTTGGTTTCAAAAATGTCCTTCATGGTGAATTCACTCTTGAAAAAAAGAAAGATCACTGATGCCCTTCTGACAATGACAACAATGGCTGAAGCAAATCCTTGCACAACTGTCTGAAAGTTTGCAGAAAGCAAAATGCAAGAATTACCAAATATCTAAACAGGATTGGATTGTATGTGACAGTAGTTGAATGAACAGTTGCTTGGAATGAGAAATCGGAGAGATGTGTTCAAATCCCAGTCAAGTTAGTTACATTCACTTACACACAAATACTCTTCGAAAAACTACAAATCATTCTACCCCCCAGCTATGGGTTAAATAGCAAGGCAGACTGGGCTTTCTACATACATATATATTATAGCCCTTTTTTTTGGCACAAACAGCTATAATGCACAAAACTTAGCCAAATATAAACAAACATTATTATGCCATTTAAGTATTAATTAAAAAAACAATTAATTAATTATTTAAACAAGAAATAAATAAAAAGCAGAATACACCTGTATTTTCAAAAACTTAAGAAAACCTCAAAATATTCCTGAATAATTAACCTAAAAAATAAGTCCTGTCTCTGACACTGGAAATAACATTGTTACATTATCTTTAGACATTCAGAGTCAAAAGATAAATAAAAGAAAAAAAAGAAATGGAAGAATGAGTGAAAATAAGAAGACAAGAAAATTATGAAAAGATGGAATAAATATGAGATCCTACACATATATACATAAACACGCATACACACATGTACACATAAGCATGTATACACACATGTACACATAAACACGCATACACACATGTACACATAAACACGCATACACACATATACACATAAGCATGCATACACACATGTACACATAAACACGCATACACACATGTACACACAAACACGCATACACACATGTACACATAAGCATGTATACACACATGTACACATAAACACGCATACACACATGTACACATAAATACGCATACACACATGTACACATATATACTTACATGCACACATACATAAACACACATTATATATATATATATATATATATATATATATATATATATATAATTATTTTTTTAAAAAAATTATAACATAAGTATGTTATAAGATCACTACAAAAAAGAGGTTTTGTTTCAACACATTCTGTGTCTTCTCAAGTGATGATGTTGAAAATAAAA